TTCTTCGGTCTTCCTTATCCATTGTCCAGCTCTCACGTGCATATGAGGCCATTGAAAATACCATGGCTTGTGTCAGGCGCACTTTAGTCCTCAAGAGATATCTTTGTTCTTCAGCACTTGAAAGAGGTCCTTTGCAGCTGATTTGCCCAGTGCTATATGTCGTCTGTCCTGACTGGTCCTTCAATTGGCATTGATTGTAGAACCAAGCAATGTGAAGTCTTTGACAATTTCAATCAGGGGCATTAGATTGAGTGAAAAAAAAAATCCAGTCTCCAAGGATTACATACTGTATAATTCAATTTCTATGACATTTGTGAAGTGAAAAAATAATGTTGAAAAGACAGAGCAGCAGTGGCCAGGGGAAAGGTGTGACGATTAAGGAGTCACACAAAGGGGTTCCTTTGCAGTCACTGAACAGTTATGTATCTTGACTGAGGTTAATTTACACATGTGACAAAATTTCATAGAATTACACACACACACACACACGCACATACACACACAAGAATACATGTAAAAATGGGTAAAATACAAAAAAGTTCTATACTTCTTTATCTGAGTCAATAGTGTTTAATCAAAATGAATTTCCTGGTTTTGAGAATTTACTATAGTTACTTAAGATATTATCCTTGGGGCAAGCTGGGTAAAGGGGTACATTGGAACTTTCTATACTACTTTCACAACCTCTTGTGAGTCTTAAATTACTTTAAAATATAAAATTACTTTAAAAAAATCACTTTATGATGGCATGCTTGGCAGAATCAAAGGAAGATGGCTGAGGGAAACAATAATTGACTGCACATAGAGGTTCAGTGAATTTTTATTTGCCATTAAAGCCACAAATATGTAGATAGATTCTTATGATTATTGTAATTTCACATAGTGAAATAATAAGTGCCAAAGAGGAGTATAAAAGAAGAGGGGAGGAAATCTATACTCTTAGGAAAACTTCATACCATTAACTGCTGTGTAACAATCTCACATTACTCCTCTGTCTAACTTGAAGTTAGACCAAGGGCATTGAACTCCACTGTTGTATAAGTATAGTAACCCAAACCTATGATTGAGTTGATATTGACTCATGGTGACCCCATAGGACGGGGTAGATCTGCTCCACAGTGTTTCAAAATCTCTAAATCTTTACAGATTGACCGCCATATATTTCTCCCATGGAGCAGCTGGCAGGTTTGAATGGCTGACCTTTTGGTTTGCACCCAAATGTTTGAAACACTGCACCACCAGGGCTCCCTATAATAATAGTAGTGATGATTAAACATAATAGTGCATAAAAATTGGTATTTCAGTAGTGATAAATATCCTTCAAAGCATGAGCTTATGTGATTTCTCACAATATTTCTATACTTCCTCTTTGTCCAAAGGGGCAACAATGTGTACAAAGTGTTTCTAAGATACTTCATCAAAGTATTAGAAGATTTCTGATGAGAAGAAATTACTGGCTGGAAAGATCAACGATGGTTCTTGGTAGGGGATGATATTGGGATTAGACTCTCAAGTGAATCCTCAATGTATGACTTCACATTGGTTCTCAGGAAATACCCTTGCTGAAGAGTTTCTGCAAGGCAGCCTTCATGTCCCGGTTTCTCAGACTGTAGATGAAAGGATTTAACAATGGGGTCACTGCTGTGTACATTGCTGTTATCACTGCATCCTTTAGGCTGTAACTGGTTGGAGGGTGGAAATACATGCCCATCACTGTCCCGTAATACAAAGAAACAACTGTGAGGTGGGAGCCACAGGTAGAGAAGGCTTTGAGCATGCCTTTGGTAGATGGAACCTGTAAGATAGTGGCAAAGACCCGAATATAGGAGATAATGATGCCCGCTAAAGGCACACAGAAAAAGCCAACTCCGACATACATCATTTTCACATTTAAGTGGGTATCAGAACAGGACAACTTGAGCAAAGAGGAAATGTCACAGTAGAAATTGGCCACTTCATGGTTGCCACAGAAGGACAGACTAGCTGTAAGCAGAGTGTGGGGGAGGGCATTGGTGTTTCCAATCACCCAAGATCCTACCACAAGAAGAACACAAGGCCTTGGACTGATAATTGTTGTGTAATGAAGAGGGCGGCTGATGGCCACAGCACGATCATATGCCATCACAGCCAAGATATAGCTATCTGTGTTAGCAAAGGCAATCATGAAATACATCTGTGTTAAGCATCCTCCAAAGGAAATGGCTTTGGTGCCCAAGAGGTGGTTTGTTAGCATCTTAGGGACGGTTACAGACGAGAAGAGGATGTCAACAAAGGAGAGATTGGCAAGGAAAAAGTACATGGGGTTGTGAAGGCGAACATCAGAGCGAATGGCCAAGATGATGAGCAGGTTTCCAATCAGTGTGATGGAGTAAATAAACAGGAAGAGGATGAAGAAGACAACTTCCTGCTCCTGCTGACTGGTAATTCCCAGGAGAATGAAACCCAGTGTAGATGATTGGTTTCCTTCCTGAGTAGAGGACTGGTTTTCTTCCCTCATGGCTCCTTCAGTATGAAAGGAAGAAGAGTCCAGATTATTAATGAAGTCACTGTGTGATCATCCTTATCTACCAGTTTAGACTCTAAAGTTCAGCTACATTTCAAACACAAAAAAACAAACCAAAGTCACTGTCATCGAGTTAGTTCCGACTCCACTGGGTTTCCAAGGCTGTAAGTCTTTACAGAAGTGGACTGCCTCATCTTTCTTCTACAGAATAGCTGGTAGGCTTGAACTACCAACATTTTGGTTGGCAGCCAAAGGCCTCAATCACTATATCACCAAAGCTCCTTATCTTTCTAACTTACCTTTCCTTACCTTTCATTGGTGGTCAGTACAGCAAATCTATTCTTTAGATGGTTTCTAAATTCAGGAGGGATATAATCAAGGTCGTATTTTGGCTCTCATGGACTTGTTTTAATTTTCTTCAGTTTCAACTTGAGCATATGAGCAGCAGTTGCACAGTCAGCTCCTGGCCTTGTTTTTGCTGAAGATATTGAGCTTTTCCATCACTACTTTCCACAGAGATAGTCTATCTGATTAATGTGTAATCCATCTGGCAAAGTCCACATGTATTGCTGCCATTTATGTTGTTGAAAAAAGATATTTGCAATGAATAAGTCTTTGGTCTTGCAAAATTCTGCCATGTGATCTCCAGCATTATTTCTATCACCAAGACCATTTTTCCAACTACGGTGACTTTTCTTTGTTTCCTACTTTTGCATTCCAATCACCAGTGATAATCAACACATCCTGACTGCATGTTTGGTCAATTTCAGGCTGCAGAAGTTGGTAAAAATCTTCAATTTCCTCATCTTTGGCTTTGGTGGTTGGTGCGTAAATTTGAATAATATTAGTATTAATTGGTCCTCCTTGTAGGTGTGTGGGGATATTATCCTATCACTGACAGCATTGTACTTCAGAATAGATCTTGAGACATTCTTTGTGATGATGAATGCCACCCCATTCCTCTTCAGTTTGTCATTCCTGGCATAGTAGATCATAAGGCTGTCTGATTCAAAATGGCCAAAAGCAGTCCATTTCAACTCATTAATGCCTAGGATGTCACTCTTTATGCATTCCATTTCATTTTTGACAACTTCCAA